CTGGTCATGCTCACCCCGGTCCCCTGAGATCAAACACAACCTTGATGCGGCCCTCAGTGAAATCAAGTTTGACACCCCTGCTCTAGTCACTATTCAGAATCTCTACTTTGCCTACACTGTTTATAATCTCAGCCTCATTTAAAATAAGATCATTATATGTCAAAGCAAGGGAGCTTTGGGTTCCACAGATTTATTATTCAAAGTGCCACCAAAAAAGGGTTAAGGATTGCCAACATTTCATTGCCATACACTGTCACTATGGAAAGTTCCCCCCGCCCCCTCCATATTAAATAAAGTTCAGTTCTCACCTATTCTTTTGAAGGAAGAGTCCATAAGTTCATTATGGTAATTCCTGACTCTAAATGGGGCAGAGTCAGAAGTGGCTAACTGAGATAAATCACTACCATCAGCTGAAGGATGAACATGGACTCTGGCCTTACTCAGCAGACCTATTGGGGTGCAATGAATTTTATTGAGAAGGGCTCTGTCTTACTGTCTTCTTCTTACAACATTGACTATTGTCTCTACTGTTAGAGGATGAGGATGAGCTTCTGGGCCTTGAGTTCTTGCCATTCTGAATTAAAGGAAATCAATGGGATGGCCTCTATAGGCTCTATGTGGACGAGTGCTGGTCAGAGAGCCAATTACATTTTCTATGCCTATTGTTAGTATTTCTCCGAGATACCAACTTGGTTCTCTAACTCCTGAATGCAGGTGGCTTCCTGATAACTTGACAGATTTATGCTGACCTGCCAAAAATATAGCTGCCATTTGAGTCATCTAAACAGCATTCTTGGAGTAGCAGCTCATTTTTTGCAAATTCAGCTGTTTGCCTAGTTTGATCTTTGGCTATTTAGATTTCTTCTAACAAAGCTGCCCACCTGTGCTTTTCTGAAATAAGATCATTACTCTGTTGCTTCTTCCATGCCTCCAATAAGCAAACAAACAGTAGATTTTCCCTATTCCAGAAATTATTTTTTTGATATTTCTCTCATTTTCTTTAATTTCTCCACCTCTACTATTTCCTCTTACCTCTCAGTTCCTTGTCCTTGACTTGTAATAAATCTCTAGAGTCTACTTGGAAGTATCCATGCAACACAATTTATTTGTTTTTATTCTTACCAAGCTTAAATTGTTCCGAGGTTTGGACACAATGTTCCTTTGCAGTGGTTATAGCATCAGAATGATCCTAGGGACAGTTTCCTTGTTTTATTACAAATTTCTCAAGTTTGGAAAGTTTATCCTTTGGTTCTGAAGCAGATTCAGTTTAAACACTTTTGGAAAAATGTTTCCGTCCTTTTGAAATAAGAAAGTTAACTTTCAGTTCAAAGCGATCCTTTGTTTTAGTGGATCTTGATGCAACAGATTTTGTCTATAGTGGACCCAATTTCCATTGCAATTTGCATCATTTTAGAAATATTGTCATGAAAATGCAATTTACTTCAATTTTTTATTTGTAGTGATCACATTATGCAAATCCCTCCCCCAATGCCCTATTTTCTGGTTCAATGAACTTTTGTCAATAACAGACACTTCCACCCCCAATTAGCCTGTTAAAAATTGATTTCAAAGTGCTTATCTTACTATCTTATCACCAGTAGAAATGCAAGATTTATTCAAAACAAATATGAGGGATGATACAGGTAGTCTTTTGCTTCTTGCCAGATTTATTTGGAAAGCAGGGGGGTGGGGGGGAGAGAGACAGTGAAAGTAATAACAAAAGTTATCTCTACTTGATAAATGAAATATACATTCACATGAAATGCACGTGCACAGACCAAACAAACACTGAATCCCCGAAGGACACCAACAAAGGAACAATATCAACAACTAAAAGTACACTGCAAAGAATGAGATTACTTCAATATATTAGTACTGTTTTTCCTGTGCAACACCCAAATGCCACTTAATCCAAAAGATATCCTGCTGGTCTGCTTTAAAGCAAGCAAAACTGAGCAGCAAAGCACGAAAAAAAAAAATCCTAAAGATGCTTTCTCAGTTTGCCTCTTCCAAAAACAAACTAAGCATAAATTCCTCTCCAAACAGGGAAGGGGGAAGAGCGCTGCTCAGAAGGCCTATTGCCAAGCTGAGGGCACCACAGCTTCTATGCAGCCACAATGTTCCAGATTCTTTATGCTCGGAGCTGCCCAATATGGTTTAGCAGCGAAGCCAGGACTTTGGAAGCCATCTGTGGAGGGGGACAAAGAGAAGATTTCACACTACAACTCTCCAACTCAAATCCAGGGATACTAAACCAACCGTAGATCCAGATTCCTGCCCCGGAATAACCTTTTAATGCTACCCAGTGCAGTTCAATTAACTTCAGAATAACAGAAAGGGAGGAAGTGAGCAATGTTCTCAGAAGGGAATAGCTTACCAAATTTCCCAACATCCACAACAATGAGGAAGGGGAAGGTGTGTTGCTTAAGGCGGCCTGCCCTGTTTCCAGATAAACCCTTTTGTGCCTCTCCAATCTCTATCCCCCACATAATTAACCCACTTTTGGAGCTTCTGGTAATATAGGGCCACTTAAGCTCGGATTTCAAAATGGACAAAGGACTCTGATAAAAGATCTTTCCCTCTAACCAAGGTGAGACCAAGAGGTACTTTGTCCAGCTGTTAATCTGACACAACTATGGTAACTTTGTCTAGTGCAGTTTAAGTGAATCTCAGGAAAGTTAGAGGTGAGATAAAAGCGGTAGTCGTGTTCAGGGAATGCTGCGTGTATTTTCTGTCAAGCGAGTAGCAAACCATGGAGCATTCTCCATCAAACAAACAATTTCCCAACCACTCTGCCAGCCTCAAGTACCAAAATCACATTCAGGAATATTTTCAATAATCAACACTTCAACCTCTCCCCACCAAGAGCACAAACAATGAGACAAGAGTATAACAGAACATACAAAGCAAGCTTGCAAAGAACAAAAGAAAGTGCAAGATATTGATTTTCCAGAGCTACTCAGATTTAATGATTCAGGTTTACCTTGATTTTTGAGTCATGTCTGCCTGACGTTCTCCATCAGCCTGTAAATACTTTCATTTACCTGCCTGGATACTCACTACGGTAGTATATGTAAATTGAGCCCACATATAAAGTATCTTGTGACTTGGTGAACCCTGGAAAAAGCTTAAAGCCAAAAACAGAAAAGAAAAAAAAAAACCTTCAGAAAAATTAAAATAAATTCAGGAGGATTAGAACTCAACATAAACTGAGAATGTTTCTAAATCAGGGGATTTAGAATCATACAATAAGCATAAAGAACAGGATTTGTAAGTTTGATTGAGAAATAGGGGGAAAAGGAAGCCTAGCATTGATCTAATCCCAGAAATGGAAACCACTCATACAAGAAGGAGTTAAGGACCTGTCAACCGCAGACTTTAAAGAGAGTATGCAGATGTTAGTTTCATAGTGAAAATTTAAGAAAAGATGAAAGCAATTAGATGTTGGATGGTTCAGGGAACAAAATGAAGAATGTACGAAAGTAAACTTGTCCTTGTCTGTTGGCTTGGGTATACTGGAGCAAGGGTCTCCAACCATAGCAACTTTAAGCCTGGAGGACCTCAACTCCCAGAATTGCAGGAATTCTGGGAGTTGAAGTCCACCAGGCTTAAAGTTGGCAAGGTTGGAGACCCCCGCACTGGAGGATTGGCTTGGCTGAACTTCTGAAGAAACGGTAGGAGTCCTTGTTCTGCTCCCAAACTTGAACCAACGAGGGCCTTTTCAACCCTTTTACCAGGAAATTTAACAAATTAAAAAGAAAACAAAATCCTCACTTCAGGATGTCCCAAGTTCACTTGAAGAACTATCAATAAGGTTATCAGAAAGAAAGTATTATGCTTCTTCTTTCTCCTTCCTCAACTGAAGGGACAGAAATGAATAAGGAAATTCCTTAGCATAATCATCATGGGGTGAAACTTTAAAAGAAGACAATAGAAGCCCACCAAAGATGTTTGCAAAAGCTCAAGTACTTTGCTGGGGACCTCTCCTGCCAAAGTTTCAATAATGGAAGGATTTCTTTTGCCAAACTGGAATGGAGCCTCAGCCTCTTGTTACAGGCTATCTTTAACAAAATAGGCTAGAGTTTCCTAAGAGGAGTTATCACAATAGCTGTCACTTGGAAACTTTCAAAGAACTGGGCATCAGCCTGAGCTGAAACAGCAGTTTTAAAATCACCTGATAAGACGACCTCCAACAAGGCCCTAAGAAACAAGACGGCCACTTCACGTCTGTGATATTTGCTGAATATATTTAAATCTATGGATAGATACCAGCGTGCTTCTTAAGTCTTTGTGGCTACCTGGGGCACTTCAGCCTACACTTTCCCCCATCTGACAAAATTAAAGAGAAAAGTGTTGTGAGAAGAGGCTGCATTTCCGGAAGCACTACAAGGAGGCTTGTTCCGAGGAACAAGATCGCTGTGAACATTTCATCCTCCAAGGCGACACCAATGCCCCTCGATCCCTCCATTAGCTTAAACAGGGAAGCATCCATCTAACTGTAGGTACTGCTTGTCCTGAATGAGGGATGCATTATTTATCTCTCCGCGTTATTTTCACAGATTTCTGGAGAGAGTGGGGCAACGTAAAAGAAGAATATGAGAGAGAGAGAGAGAGAGAGAGAGAGAGAGAAAGAGGGAGAGAGAGATCCTAGCAGTTATTTCTCTTTCTCTCTTGCTCACTCGCATATTCTACCCCACGTTACTTTGATTGACAGCCCAGCCTCTCCACTCTCCTTCTCCCCGACCTTCCTATTCTCCCTGCCTGCCTGAACGTTCCGCTGCCTCCCATTGGCTCGCTCAGAGGGGTCCTGCAGCTCAACTAGAAAGGCTTCCTAGGAAAGGGGGAGGGAGGCAGAAGGGGAGGTGACGCTTACCAGAGTCGCCTGCCATTGGTCTGATGTCATTGCCCCACGTTGGTTCCTAAGCAGATGATTGGCCCTACGCCCTCCTCCCTCTCGCTCGGGGCGGAGCCAAGAGGCTGGTTAGCTCGAGGAGTGTGAAACCGCGTGTTAATGTAACCAGCGCGGGCGGATACATTGTGTCCCGTTTATTGAGATCCTGCCGCCGCCGCCGCCGAGCTGGGCTGTGTGTCCTGCGGAGTTTTCTTATTACGTGCCGGTTTTGTCTCCATGGAAGAAAAATCGTTGCGATAATTTTGGGGAGGGGGGAGGAGAAGGTCTCGCCTTCTCCCCACCCCCGCCTGGATGGTTCCTCGAGGGATCTTGCAAAGAAGAACTTTGGCCCGGGGTTGAGCAAGAGAGAAAGAAAAGCAGCGGAAGGGAAACCAGAGGCCGCCGCGAGAAGTCCGCCCGGGATGCTTCTGCTCCAAATGGGGGGTTTCGTTTCGGGATTCTAACGGGGGGATCCTGGTCGAGGCGCTGCCGGGCCTAAGAAGACAGCCTCGGCACGACTCCGAGGGAGAAGCGGCTCTTGATTTGGAGACCGACTGCGGTGGGAAGAGTGGGTACCAGGAGGGAGAAGAGCGGCTGAAGTGTGGGGGGTGGGCTGTTTTTTCCGTGTAACTCTCAGGACTCTTTCTTCAGTCCGGCTCCTGTCTCGTAACCCTCCCTCTCCCTCGATTTCCTTCCTCGAGTCCCGCGCCCGATCTGGCCTGAATCGTTCTCCCGAGGCGAGGAGAGCGCGGCCTTTCGCAGGGGCGCTCCTCGGCTCTAGCCCCGCACCCCGATCGTCGGAAAAGAGCCCCCTTGACTTGTTTGGATTTTCTCCTCCGATCGACTCCAAAGCCACCGATCTTTCGGGTGGTTGGTTGGTTGTTTTGTTTGTTGGGTCTTTACTAAGTGCGTTTGGCGGCCGAGGAAAGGAAGGTTGTTATTTCCTGGAAGAAGAAAAAAAAAAAAAAAAAAAAGAAACCCCCCCCCTCCAGGAAGCCCAAGGAGCGGCGACAACAACAACAACGGCGAGGCGAGGAAGGACCCATCCCGGACTGGCCATCTCTTGCGCTTGCTCGGGCAGATCCCCGGTGACTTTTCCTTTCCTCGCTCTCTCGAGCTAACAACAAAGGAAGCGGCTGGGCTGGGGCTGGAGGGAAGCCGCGTGGGGGTGGGGGTGGGGGGAGGATGAGCTTGCAGCTGAGCCAAGAAGCGGAGTAAGCGCCCTTCCCCGCTTTCCTCCCACCTGGCGTTTGCTCTGGAGCTTCCGCGGAATCTAAAGTTCAGGGGGTCGAGGCGAGGCGAGACCTGCGAAGGAGGAAAGCGGCGGCCAGAGCCATGTTTCCTCAGAGCCGGCATCCCGTAAGTGGCCTTCCCGTAAGCTTCCTCACCTCTTCCACCCTACCCCACCCCCCCGTCAACCCCCACCCGGTCCCCTTTTCCCGGGCAAAAAAGTAACGCGCGGGGTTCTTGGCTAAACGCAGGAAGTCCGAAAGTGTAATTGGCTCCTTCAGTTGGCCCTCTGCGAACTCTTGGAGGGCCGAAAACAGCTTTTTTTGGGGGAAGCGGTGTGTCTGTGTGTGGGCGGGCGGGCGAGGAAAGGCCTGGGAAACTTCTGCCTCGTCAGCTGGCCTGGCCGGGGTTGGTTTGAAAAGCCTCGCTTGGCTTTTTTTTTTTTTTTGGGGGGGGGGGGGGGCGACCGGCGGGCGGGGGGGGGGGGGGGGGGAGCGTCGGCGCGTGCGGCTTCCCCTTTTGTTTACTCGTAGCCCTGGCGGGGGCCGCTTCGCTTCCCTTTCCCGGGTTCAGGACCCAGCCTGTAAAGTCGAAGAGCGGCGGGTACTTTCCCCTCAAAGCCCGAATGCGAGACACCGCTGCTGCCATTTCCTGGAAGGAAGAGGACGTTGGAGGGAGCGCTCTCTTGCCCGCCAGTGGCGTGGCGGTGCTTTTTAAATGAAGAATATAGCAGCGAGTTCTGGATGGGGCATCCCTACAAAGGCGGTTTCGGTGTGGGGGGGGGGTTCTGCCTTTGCCCTTGCCACGTGCTCTTTCTGAGCCAGGTGGCATTGTTCCCTCGGTAGCGGCGGCTGCAACTTCGTCTACCGTCTCAACAGTTTCCTCACAACCCCCCCTTCCTTTTCTTCCTGTGCCCCCTTCCTCCTTTCTTTCCTTCCTTCCTTCCTCTTCAGACGCCACACCAAGCTGCAGGACAGCCCTTCAAATTCACAATCCCGGAGTCTCTAGACCGAATCAAAGAGGAGTTCCAGTTTCTCCAAGCTCAGTATCACAGGTGAGAATGGCTCTGGTCAGCATAGAAAGGCATCGCCTTTCCCCCACCCCCAATTGCACTTGGAGAAAGGAGGTTTCTTCTGGGATGAGATTTTCAAGGCTCCATAATGTGCTCCTTAGTATATATAGGGTGTGTTTTGCTTCTTCCAAATGTACTTAGTAGTTATGCCCAGGTGGTGGCGTGAGGAGGCAGTGAAAAGTCTGTCACTCACTCACTGAAGGTGAGTGTGCAAGCAGGCTGGTGGATCTGGCTATTGTTTTTATTTGTGTTAGGTTAATACAGTTTAGGTGTATGAGCTGCTCTCTTGCTACCTCCATCTTCCTATGTGCTTTCAGAGCTTTACAGGAACTGTCAATATTTGCTCTGGAAAGTTTTAAGAGACTGAGTTGACATTTGGTCAACCAGGGTTCCTGTCTTCATATTCCAGCATGCCAATGAAAAAAAATAAAAAATAAAAATAAAAAAACCTTATTTAACTGGGTTCCCACAGCTCCTGAGAGAATAGAGCATGCTAAGTAAAACATTTTTACAAAATAAAGTGTTTGCATGCTTATTTTGGCCATTGTTTGATCCTGTGTGTGTGGTCTACTTAGAATTATGTTTTATTTAGTTCAGTGAAAAATATTCCCAAGATAGCATGCATAAAAGTTCAGCAAAGTTTTCAAAAGCACAATTTGCAAACAAGAAATCAAGTTAGGGTTATTTACTGAAACATTAACTTGTACGTACATGTGAGTAAAATGCATGTCTAATAAAAATCTAAGGAACACATCTTTAAAGTAAACATGTTCCAGGGCCAGACGGTTAGTATATTATCTTGGTTTGGTTTGAACAAACAAACATACATATATAAAACTGAGCTCAGCTGTTATATAGCTCAAGCACACTGTGTACACAGCCTTAACTGCAAAGATCAAGCCTGTTCAAATAAGTAGTATTCAAACAGTAAAGTTTTTACAATTGTGTGAGAGAGAGCAGGAATTATGGTACACACCTACAAATACCCTTTAATCATAGCAGTAAAACTGAAAGGCTTTAATTATCTAAAGGATTTGGCTTGATGACCTTCAGGCTTTTATTTTTAGTTAATAGAATTAAAATCCCAATCCTAGAAGTAAATTTCCATTGGAAATAATTTGTAAATGAATTTGAAGCTTGGCAGCTTGATTTAGGTTATTTTACTTCAACTGAAAGCTATAAATTATGTTTGGGTCTAATTAAAAGTTTATGTAAACTACTATAAATTACAGTGCTGCATTATCACCAAGTAGTTTACATGATGGGCAAAAGCTATTTAGTTTGGTTATATTTGAAAAATTGATTTTGGGAAAATGCAAACTGAAGTATTTGCTAATAATTCATATGGATTTTTATAGAAATGTATTTTCTGAATCTTTCAAAGGAATGCTGGAATTCCTTTTTAGTACCTCTTTAAAAATATTTTCCCACTATATTAAATTATTTCTATATTACATAGGAACACTTTCATCTGTTTGATCTCCTCTGCATATTCAAATGTTGTCATCTATTAAAAGTGGGTTGCTAAACATCTCTGTATTTCTACTTTGAGACCCCAGAACAAAACAACAATATGTAAATAAAAATCATATCTTAAATTCATATCTTAAAACAAATACATACCTTTATCTTTGTAGCCTTAAGTTGGAATGTGAGAAGCTTGCAAGTGAAAAGACAGAAATGCAAAGGCACTACGTTATGGTAAGTACAATCTTGTTTATGTGCTTTAGTAAAATGTAAAATCAGAGTTGGAAGAAAACATGAAAAATAGTCTAATCTAGACCCCTGGTAAGGGCATAGTATCCCTAACAACTGGTAGCTTCTGTTTAACTTCCTCCAGTAAAAGACTCAGGATCTCCCTTAGCAGCTTGCTCCATTGCTGAATATATTTTAGGACATTTACTGTTGTTCATTAAAATCAGCTTTACCACAGTTTTAATATATTGGTTTACTTCTGCTTGTTTGGAACAAGAGAAAATGGAAATTCTGGGCATGATAGAACCGCTGTTTTGTGTGTTATCTCTGTTTTAAATAAACTTTTCTCTGCTTTGTTCACAGTATTATGAAATGTCATATGGATTAAATATTGAAATGCACAAACAGGTAAGAAATTGTTGTTATTGAATTCTGTGTTAGTACAAAATTACATTACATGAATATCTAAAAGGTTGGAGAATTATAGAGAAAATTTCCCTATAAATTTCCATTTAGTTTTATAAATACTATCTTGGCCTTTGCTATTATATATGAGAGATGCTTAAAATTAAATATTTTCAAGGAAATAGTTTTCATGAAGAAAATTTGGGGTCGACACCTCCGTGAATTTGCCTAACCAGTATTTTATGTCTAGGCAGCATATGTTGATGGTTGCTCAAATCCAAGCCATTTAAAAAGCATGAAAAGATTAGTGACTTGGAAAGCATTCCTTATGACTGAGTTTGCAAGTTCCCATAAAATTCACACTTATGGCTGCTATAATGGTGAATAAAAAGAGTATTGAACTGGAACAAGGCACTAAGGACCTCATAAGAGAAAGAAAGCTAAATGATTGCTCAGCCCAAAGGACCTTCAATTGAGTAGTTATTGTCTGCCAAAGAAAGCATTAATGGCAGGGTGTAAATATTCTGTAGATATGCTGACATCCACTTTTTCATCAAGATGCTGGTACAATAAGTCTTTCAGAAATCGATGGCCTCTTAAAAAAAATTATCATTAGATGAAGTTGCACAGTTGGATACATTTCAAAGTGCAACAATACAATTCTTTCTTGATGTATATGTGCTATTTCATCTGAAACTCTTGTTTCATTAAATTAAGGAGCATGGCTGACCAGCTAAGGCAAAGTGAAGAAATTGATTCGTTCAGGTTTCACATCTTCAGTGTATTCAAAGGCTCCCATTAAGCAAGTGTGCTTGAATGCTGAATTCTGCTTTTGTAATTCTGAGCTCTTTGATTTGGGGGGAGTATGTGTAAAATCCATCAGATGCAAGAACCTTTGGTAATCCAGAATTACAGATTCCCTCAAAAGTAGATGCTTTTTAGATGTATAGGTAGTGCATTTGACATTTACATATTAAACATTTGGTTGCATAAATTAATGGCAGCTTTCAAGCCTTAACTAAATTGTTGAAATTTGGGTATTAAGAATTCCCATTTTTCCTTTCATAATTTTCTCTATTTGCTTTGAAAATAGTACTATTACATTGCACTAAAAACTGATGTTTTCCATTCCCCCTCCCCTGAAAATGTGTAGGCTGCCATTTGCTTAAAACTTACTAATAGCCTGTTCCAGATCACAGGTTTTTATGAGCTTAATTGGTCATACTTTTGTCCAACATTGTGACTAGCTTTAAAAATTTCTTCTTTAACAGCAAACCAAATGTGTAAATTGGAAACTGAAGTTGAGAACTGGATTTATTTAAAGATTAAACAAACAAAACTGAAAGAGCTTTGGAACTGAGAGTGTTATTTTAGTCTGTGCATTCGTGTACCAAATTTTATTTAGTCTGAATATGAAATTTATAAATAACATTTTCAGATACAATAAGCATTGTCTATATTATTTCTGTAAAAGGAAATTGCCAAAATAATATTTATATTTGGTAGAAATTTGCTATTTTTTATATGGTGTACAACAGAAGTAGCAATGATTTTACCATATACTTTTCATGTACGACACAGTTAACTATTTCTCTATCTTAACAATGTTGTTGAAAAAAGAAAATGAATTCATCTTGGAAAAAAGCATGTGTGTATGTGAGAATTTCATGATTTAAACATGAACAGTATGTTCTTAGGCATTTGCTGGAGAGTAATCATAATTCTTATTAAAACTGTTGATGTGTATCCCCCAGGGAGTAGCTAGGCTCCAATTGATGCTTTTTGCTGGCTGATCACCAGCCTGGCCTAAGTGCTCATTATGTTGTAGAGAGGGTCTTCAGAGCTCTCATTACATTTGACAGGAATTCTCTCTAGGGGGAAACTGGGCATTAGCTAGACTCCTGACAGGCTGAAATTATTCCTGTTTTATGGCTTATAACCAAATGCTTAGCAAGGCACCATCAGGAGACATAAAAGTCATCATAACTGACTTTTTTTAAATACAAAATGTAGTGATGGGAATTTTTTTTCATCAATTGTAATGTCATAGATGCATGCATCTAATGTTATAAATGTGGAAAGATGCTTTCAGAGATCTATGACCCCTTCACTCCAAACTTTAGCAAAGGAAATTGCAGTAGCATGGCAAAATAATAACAAGAAAAAAGTCATGTTAATCTATGGGATTATTTTGCCCTTATTTCCATGGCTGTTATTTTGTGTTGGCAGTATTTTCCAAAAGTGAAAATCAACATTGGTTGAACAGGCTTCTACCTGCTTGGTAGGAACATAATTTGATGTAGGCAAGCTCTTTCTATTCCCTCTTTGCATGTCTTTTGCCTTTAAGCAAAGTGGATGGCATCCAGGAAATTATGTTTCGGATTCTGGCCATCTTTTGTAAAATTACGATGATTCTCTACTCATATTTTATTTCATTCTTTATTTAATATACCATTAGTTATTTGCATTTATCTAGTGTAACAGTCTGGGCAAGACCCCACTCAACCTCAGAGTTACTGGATAGCTTTGTATCAATCATTGTCTGTCGTGTCACCTCCCTCAAAGGATTGCTGGGGGAATAAAATGAGCTAGATATCCATATTAGCAGGATTTCCAGAAACATTGAGATTTAAAAAAAAATTCTTTGCATTTAGACCTGTTAGAGCAATGAGCTAAGGACCAGCATAACATCTCAGACAAAAAGCTGCTACCTGTAAATCAGTACTTTCTACTTATCACAATTATTTATTGGGTTGACTAATTGCACAATTTTCTTTGGCCTTTGATACAGTAGAAATTCTGTTTGTAGAATCCACCAAGGAGGAGAGCAAATTTCACTGATCTTCCCTTGTAGTAACTCTTATGTGGAAAAGTTCCTCTTCAATCTTTTGGAATGGATTATTTAGGGCATGAAACAAATGTGCTGGAACAGGTGTCAGCATGTAACTACCTTTATCTGATCTCACCCTAAAAAGGGGTCAGCCCTAGTTAGTTCTTGGATGAGAGAATGCTGTAATTCCAAATCTTTTTGAATAGATTGGGAAGTTAAAATAAAACAATAGAAGAGAATATCTATTGTTCAGGGTTGAACTATGAAGTCCTTGATGCTCTCTGAGCATCATGTTATTGATGGTTGTATCATTGCTTATTTGCTTGCAGATGTTTCCTTACCTGACTAGGTAACATATTTAGTGCTAGAAGAGAGTGTGGTTTCCCCACTTCCTTCTAACACTTGAAAATACTAACTACTTGGGCAACAAACTATCTGCAAGCAAACAACTAAGCTCTGAAAGCACTTATTTTTTAAAAATGCATTCCATTTGCAAACCACTTCTGTTATTTTCCAAAAGTACTGTGTGGATATAGCCATCAAGAGTTGAGTGCCTTGCAAGGTTATCTTTGCTTTGGTAAGACTAAGGGAGTAGGGGAAAAAAACCTCTACCTTCCTCATCAACGGGTTTGTCCTGGGAATTCTTTACTATTTGTGGGATCCCTGGATTCATCTTTTTTTTTTTTAAGGACAAAAATAGAGAACCTGGGGTAGTGCAGGAAATGAAGCATTGCTTTAATTTAACCAGTAGTAAGCTTAATCCTTGATCTGACAAACAATTGTAGCAAGTGTTTTTTCCCTTTAGATTGCATATTTTGCTTATGTATATATGATTTTAAGCCTTTTGCTAGTTTATCATAGTACTTTCTTCCTTTTGTTTCTCTAATTGCATTTCAAAAACTATGCTGTTAGTCTAGGGCTGATACAGATCTTTCTAGGGAATTGCTTAAAGGTTATGAGTTTCATTTTTAAAAATACTTACTCATTATGGCAGTTAGGGTTAGCAATGATTACTGTGGTAAATTTGCTGCCAAGATACAGGGTTTCTTGGATATTAGTAGCTGCATGGGAAATGTTTTTTCTGTGTCATTCTCATCATTCCTGTCTGATGGCCTTCAGAGTAAACCAGAAAGTAAACCTTCTTGTGTGTTAAAACCCCAATTGTTTAGGGGTAAGGTTAGCCTTAGTTCAGTGGCAGTCAGCCAAATGAAGATTGATCACTGCTGAGCCCACAGACAGACTATATAAACTACTACAGTGTTTGAGTTCCTGCCATTCTAAAAGTGACAGGTGGGCCTTTGTCTCCTCTGAGGGGACAGCTATGATCTCTCTGACCTGCCTTCAGGCAAGCTTGTTACTTTGCCCTGCTGAGGTTTTCTGTTTGGCTTGCTGCCTTCTCGCTTCCAAATAATTACAACTTCAAAAATGGAGCATAGTGCTAACAGTGCCAGTCTTTTCTTTGAAGGAGCCACTCACAAAGCTGTCTGTGTTCAACAGCCGTATCTCCTGATGGTTGCTCGTGACATCGTAGGTAGTAGATAGCTTCAGACAATTCAGATATTTTCTTGATTTTGCACAGTTCTTTGAATAGGAGTGATCATGATATTGGTCTTCCTCCATGAACTTTTTAATGTGGCTTCATTAATTTAGATTGCAAATGGGAACTCAGATGAATTTGTGAAACTAATAACTTCTTTATAGCAAGTTAATGTCAGGCGCATAGAATTTTAAGTATTACCTTTTTAATGCATGGAAATGGTTTCGTGTGGAGTAGCATAAATCAAGGTATCTTTCTGAATTGTGATGCAATATATTCTCAAACCCAGAATTACCATCTCAGCAAAAGATTGGCTTTTTAAAAATAGATTTCCTTTTGCTTGGCTGCTTGTATTTCACTTATTGCTTTCTGACTTTCTCGGTATCTTGATTTTCTGTCATCAAGATATTAGGTGAACATATTTGAGCACTAATGAATTTTGTCATTGCCCCACACCCCAAAGGTCAGAGAAGCCTAGTGTTGGAAAAATACAAACCTACTCCTTCAGTTCTAATTTTTCTTCACATTTTTATCTTAAATTCCTGCCTTTTAGATATTTAATTCTTCATAGTATTTTGTATAATTTTTAGCCTATAAGACCACAATAAGACAATCCTTTACACTATTAATTTGTCA